TTTCCTCCCATCCCCTTGCAATCATTAATCTACTTTCTGTCTCTATGACTTTGCCTGTTCTGGACATTTCATCTGAATAAAATTATACAACATGTGGCCTTTTGTATTTGACTTCTTTCATCTGGCATATTGTCTTCAAGGTTTATCCATGTTGTAACATGCATCAGTACCTCGTTCCTTTTATGATTGAATAATATTCCACTTTGTGAATATACCACATTTATTTCAGCTAATGGCATTTATTCACCAGCTAATGGACATTTGGGTTGTTTCTATTTTTGGGCTATTATGAAAAATGCTGCCTCTTTGCTGAACTCACTTGTTACTGCTGATTGAGTGTGTGTGTGTGTGTGTGTGTGTATGTGTATTCTTTAGGGCTTTCAAAATCCAAGCCCTAATGCAATTTGCAATGTCACCTGCAAATGGGGATATTTTTACTTATTTCTTTCCAGTGTGAATACTTTTCTTTTTCTTGCTTAATTACTCTAGCCAGAACTTCCAGTACAATGTTAAATAGAAGTGCAAAAGCCAGTATACTTGTCTTCTTTCTAATCTTATAGGGAAAATTTTCAGTCTTTCATTATTAATTATGATGTTAGCTGTGGATTTTTCATAAATGCCCTTCATCAGGTTGAGAAAGTTCCCTTCTATTTCTAGCCTGTTGAGGAATCACGGAAGAATTTTGCCAAATGATTTTTCTGCATTGAGATTGATTTTTTTTTCCTTCACTTTATTAATGTGGAGTAGTACATTGATTGATTTTTGTATGATGAGCCGCTCTTGCATTCCTGGGATAAATCTCCATTGGTCATAGTATATAATCCTTTTAATATGCTGCTGGATTCAGTTTGCTAATATTTTTTGAGGATTTTGCATCATATTCATAAAGGATATTGGTCTGTATTTTGTGTGTGTGTATGTAATATCTTCATCTGGCTTTGGTATCATTGTAATGTTAACTTCATATAATAAATTAGGAACTGTTCTTTCTTCTTTCCCTTTCTATTTCTCAGAAGAGTTTGAGAAAAATTGGTGTTCATTCTTTAATATTTAGTATACTTTACCAATGAAGCCATAGGCCATTTTTTTTTAAGAGCCTACCATGTTGTCAACCTTACTGATTCCCCCTTCTTCAATTTTAAGCTGTTTTAGACTAGCCCCTTATTGGATGATTACTTTTGGGGGCATTTAAATGGTATTCTCTATTTAAAAAAACAAAAAACAAAAATAAATCAACAAGCCAAACCAAACACACAGATAGAACAGACTAGCGGTTACCAGAGGGAAAGGGCAGGAGGGAGGGTGGAATGGGTAAAGGGATTAACTGTATGGTGATGGATGGAAACTACATTTTTGGTGGTGAGCATGCTGTAGTGTATACAGAAGTAGAAATATAATGTCATACCCATGAAACTTATATAATGTTATAAACCAATGTTACTTCAATAATTTTTTTAAATTGAAAATTTTAAATTATATTCTAATACCACTTCTATCAATATCACAAAGTTCTGTTGCCTTTGCAAGATTTTAAATGTCACTTTGTGATTAGTGTAATTGTACCTGCACTTCATATTGTTTTGCATTGCAGTCGAGGTAGAAAAGGAAGATGCTAGTATTAAATTAAGGGTGATGTTTGAGTGGGGCCTCATTTCTCATTCGTTAGTGAATATTTTTGTGTTCTGATGTCTTTGTTTACTACATAACATCATAAGTTTAGGGACTCAGATGATGACAACTAAGAACACAAAAATCCCCCTGGATTCAAAACTACAAACATCGAAATACACGGTGTTAAATTCAATAAATTATGAAACAAAAAGTCCACAGATTCCAGAGATTAGCAGGCAGATGTATTTAATAGGGAATATTTTGGGAACAGCACTTGTGGAAAGGGAGGAGCAGAGGGAGAAGCCAATCTGTGATAAGGGTCCAATAAAACCTCAGCCACCCAAAAGGTCACATGGGGGCTGGGATGGCCCCACAGAATTGTCCTGCCCTGGGGCAGTGTCTGGCCCTTTATATCCTGATGTTGAACAGTCCTTGGATGCAAGCTACCCCTGGAAGGAGGTGGGGCCTTGAGTGAGGCAATTTTCTTTAGGGCAGGCAATCCCCAAGCTGAGGCTTTCTTCCAGCAATCAGAGGGATAAATTCTTCATTCCTGAAGCGGGGTCTGGGAGGTACCTCATAGAGCTCCCTGCAGAACTTAGTACATATGAAGAACTTAGTATCTGTCGTAAGAGAGAAAGGAAAGCTTTCTCTCTGCTGGAACAATTGATTACAACAACGTGGGGGAAATACATGATTAGACCATTGCCTTACACCTTACCCTTACATTAATATCAGATAAAGAGTTCAATGAAAAAGGAAACAAGAAATATAGTTAAATATGTATCAGCTAGAAGGAGAGGAAAAGACACAGAAGTGAGGTCAGACAATGCTAAGGAAATGATCCATAGATTTGATTACATAAAACAACAAAAACTTTACATTAAATATTGCATGCAAAATTAACAGGCAAACAACAAATTGGGAACATATTTGCCATAAAGACAGCCCCAAATTTTAATATAAAAAGCTCCTGCAAATTAGAGAGAAAAACCCAACACTTCCATTAAAAGCACAATGAGATACCACCTCACATCCATTAGGATGTTATTTTAAAATACTAAAAATATTAAAAAGAAAACAAAAAGTGTTAGCAAGGATGTGGAGAAATTGGAGTCCTTCATTATTGGTGGGGCTGTAAAATAAATAACGCAGCTGCTTCTTCAAAAAATTAAACACAGGATTACCATATGACCCAGGAATTTCATTTCTGATATATACCTAAAAGAATGAAAGCAGGAACTTGAATAAATATTTGTGGACCTACGTTCATAGTAGCATTATTTACAATGCCTGAAAAAAAACAACCTAAATGTCCATCAACAGATGAATGGATAAATAAAATGTGGCATATACCTACAATTAAATGTTATTCAGGAAGGAAATTCTGCTACATGCTACAACATACCAAGTTCCAGGACTGGTAAAACCCAAGGATGAATCTTGAGGATATTCTGAGAATTGGAATAAGCCAGACACAAAAGACAGATGTTGAATGATTCCAATTTTACGAGGTACTTAAAATAGTCAGATTTATAGAGACACAAAGTAAGAGTGGTTACCAGGAACTGGTGAGAGGAGGAATCAGAAGTCATTATTTACTGGGTATAGAGTTTCCACTTGGGATGATGAAAAATTTCTGGAATGGATGGTAGTGATAGTTGTGCAACAATGTAAATGTACTTAATGCCATAGAGCTGTACACTTAAAATGGTTAAAATGGTAACTTTTATGTTATATATATTTACCACAATAAAAAAAGAGAAAAATACCTCCACATTTGAAATGTGAGCAAACAAAAGATGTACAAAGGCAACTCACAACACAACTACAATTAAATGACCCATAAGCGTATAAAAATATTTAATCTCATAAGTAATTTAAGGAGATACAAATTAGAAGATCAAGGTATCGTTTGTCATCTATAGAATTAGAGAGATTGTTTTACATTACTATTTAACTACAGTGTTAGTATTATGATATGGCTGTTCAAAACAGTAGTATAAACATGTACCAACTTTCTAGGAAGCATTGGCAGATTATGCAAAAGATGTTTTAAAAAGTCACACTCATTGACCCCAAATCCAACAGTTAGGAATCTCTTCTAAAGAAACAGTTGGAGATGCAGACATTTGGATAATGGCAGAAGGCACCACTGGAACAAAGAACTCGAGGAAGCGAGGGAGCAAGCTCTGCGAATATACGTGGCAGAGAATTCCAGGGAAGGAGAACAAATGTGAAGGACCCAGGGCTGGCACATACTGGTATGTCCGGGGAACAGCAAGGAGGCCAGTGTGCCTGGCTGGCATGGAGTGAGTTAGGGGCTGAGTGTTAGGAAATGAGGTTGGAAAGTTAGTGGGCCCCATCAGGGAGGGCCTTGAAGGCCACATTAAGAACTTTGAACTTTACTTGCTCCGGTTTTAAACAGACAGTTGCTGTGTCTCAGCACACTCCTCAGTTGGTAGGTGGTAGCAGTTCTCAGGCTAACAGGTGGCGCCAGAGCCGCAGGCCGTGCACTTGCTGCAGGAGGGGCTTGGAATGCGGGTATGTAGCACTTTTCAGTTCCAGGCAGGATGGGGAAACAGTCTTTGCCCTTCATCACGACTTATAGTACAAGGATTCAGACACTCAGCGGCTAAAACACATCACAAATATCAGCTGTATGCGCCACACAATCCAGTTATTTCCCATACAATGAGCAGCTCAGAGGGAGGTGGCCCAAGGCTGGGGCAGTGGCTCAATGTCATCTGTGCCTTTCTGTCTGTGCCCCATATTGACTTAATGACTGACGGCTCAAGGTGACACTTCAGCCAGCATGTCTAGGTTCAGAACGGGAAGAAAGGGACAGAGCTGCCCCAACTGTCTTTTCTCCCTTTATCAGGAAAGCAAAACTTTTCTAGAAACCCTCGGGCATTCACTTATGTCTCTGTGTCACAAAGCTAACTCTGGAAATGAGGGAAGATCTATCTGCCTCTTCCCCCAAAGTGCAATTTTGTAATAACAAAAAGGAAAAAAATTGGAGATAGAGCAATGCGCATTGTGTGCTTCAATTAGCAGCAAGCCTGAAAGGGTGAGTAGAATCACCTTCTCCCCATGGGTTTCTCCAATCTCACGAGGTCTCAAAGCCAACCTCTCAGGGGCAGGACCTCTCAGTCCCCAGCACAAGCAGGGTGGGGGGAGGTTGCTGTCGGACAGGACAGTCACAGGCTCCAGACTGTTCAGCGGAAGAGTTCCTAGCCCCCATTCTCCTTGGCTTCTGTGATGTCACACTGGGACTGCTTTCCTTCCACCCTGGGCTGTGGCTTCCAAGGCTGCTGTGACCATGAGGCTCCTGGAGCCAGCAGAGGGGAGGGAGCCTGGAGGCTCTGATCGCCCCTGGGGGGCACAGGAGGTCCAGCCATGCTGCTCTTGAAGGATGCCACACCCCACATGAAAGAGAGCCATCCCCTGCCTCAGGCCCCACTCCCCTGGATCCTCCCAAGCCTGTTTGCTGCCTTCAATGTAGTGCTGCTGGTCGTTTTAAGTGGCCTCTTCTTCGCATTCCCGTGTGTATCCCACACAAGCTGGCAGATTTCCTAGAGTGACAGAAAGGACAACACATAATGATAGAATGGTGTTGGGGGCTGCTGAAAAAGGGTCAGGGAAGGAAGGGTGCCCTAGGCCGAGGGAACTGAATGGGCCAAGGCACAGAGGCATAGAGCACTTGGTGCATTTGGCTGGTAATACTGGGTGACATGTGGTGGAGTCTCTATGGATCTGTCCCTAGCCTGGATATTTAGAGCAGAATTTATGGTCTGTGGGTCCTGACCAGGTGGACTGGGTCCTGGGGGAGCTTCAGGCCTCCCCAGATCAGGGCTGAGTCCTGCTCTGATCTCAGTTGCAGGTGGCTGGCCCAGAACGGGGAATGGGCCTTTCCCGTCATCACAGGCTTCCTCTTTGTCATCACCTTCTTCAGTCTTGTTTCTCTCAACTTCTCAGACCCTGGCATCTTGCATCAAGGTGAGACACTGGCCCCTGGGGAGAAGGAGGTAGCACCCTAAAGGGCTCCTGCCTGCTGGGGGTGGGGCGGTTCCTTAAGTGCTCCTCCCATCTCCCTGCTTGGGGTCTCAGGACTCCTTCACCCCATGTTCTCATTCGCTCAGGCCCTGCTTCCGGCACTTCATTTCCTAAGCCATGGAGATGTAGAAAAGCAGGATTCTAGAGGTTTTCCAGTTGCTTGGAGGAGAGGGCCAGGGCAGGCTGGAGAGGGAAGCCAGCTTTTCACAACCACTCAGTTTTCTCTTCCTTCTGCCCACTGCATAAGCTCCCTAAAACATCAATCACATTGCCAAAGGCCTGAGTTCTCAGAGAACTCCTGGGTCTGGCAATCCACCTCCCCTTCGACTGCCAGCCTTTCTGAGCTTGGTCAGCTTACTCAGTGGGGACTAGAGATTCCCCTATCCACCTCATCCCCACCCCTCCTGGAGCCCAGTGATGATGTGGGGCTGCCTACCGACACCCTTCTGCTGCAGCCGACTGAGGGAAGGGCCTCTTGCTGCTACTCAGTCCTCTTTCCATGACAGGCTCCAATGAACAGGGTCCCATGATGGTGCATGTGGTATGGGTGAACCACAGGGCCTTCCGCCTGCAGTGGTGCCAAAAGTGCTGCTTCCACCGCCCTCCCCGGACCTACCACTGCCCCTGGTGCAACATCTGTGTGGAGGTAAGTGCCCCTCTCGCCTGCCTACCTACCCTCCCAGCCCCTGCCTGGGATCAGAAGGCCCATTCGCATGGGGCCGGTGGTGAGAGTGAAACCACTTCCGGGACTGCAAAGGACCAAGGGTGGCAGTAACTCCCAGCCACTCTTGGTCACTCATGCAGGTCACTGCCTCTGTGCCTGCACCTGTTCTGGGAGGCTAGCCCTTACCCACACTGGTGCTGACATGCAGAAGGGCATCCACACCTATGCTGAGCCTGGTCAGACCCAGGGGGAAAGACACCCCTGTCCTACCCAGGGCTTGCCGACACTAGATGCCCAAGACCCTCAGGCTGACTGCAGGGGAACTTGCCTATCCTCTTCTGGTTGTCCGTGCAAGAGGGTCCCCTGGGCTCTGAATGCTTGTCTTTTATGTGCACAACCTGGGAGGCTGGCTGAACAAGGCTGTTATTATTACGTTCAGCCAATGGATGAGGAAACGGAGGCCCAGAGGTAGTCTATGTCCCGCTCAAAGTTACACCAGGATGTGTCCCACTGAAGACCGGGCATGCCTTGACTCTAAAGGCCTCTTGACATTCAGCTATGTGAGTGAGCCACAGAGCCCTACGGTGCCCTAACCACAGAGATGCCAGCATCGTTAGGGACTTTGTGGCTCAGTTTCTCCCCAGGAAACGGAGCCAGTACGTGGGGCAGGTGACTTAGCAAGTGGGGGTAAGACCTCAGATTTAGGGGCTATGGAGGTTGGGTCAGAGGTTGTGTCCTCGAGGCCTGACCCCTTTCCCACTTGCCCAGGACTTTGACCACCACTGCAAGTGGGTCAATAACTGCATCGGTCACCGCAACTTCCGCTTCTTCATGCTGCTCGTCCTGTCCCTATGCCTTTACTCGGGCACCATTTTAGTCACCTGTCTGACCTTCCTGGTGCGCACGACCCACCTGCCGTTCTCCATGGACAAGGCTATCGCGTATCCGCCAGGCTGCGGGACCCACTAGGGGAGTCGTGGGGAGCGCGGGGACAGCCGAGGGGCGGAGTCACGCGGACAGAGCTAATGATGGGCAGGGTTAAACAGCGAAGCCGCTCGGGAGGGCCAGTCTGGGACCAGGTGAGGTCAGGGAAGAGGGATGGGGCTAGGAGGGCCTATGAAGCGTTGAGCATTTAGCAGGGTCCTGGATGAGGAGTGCTAGAGGTGGCACGGGGGCCTGGACCGCAGGGTGGGTTGAGGTTGAGGTTTACAGCGCGGGGGGAGGATGCGCCGGGCTGGTTGCGGGAGGGGCTGCTGGGGCGGGGCGGGGGCGGGGACCGGCTGAGGGGCGGGACCAGGGAGGACGTTCTGGTTGCGCTGCTCCTTAGCTTGTGCGCAGCATCGTGGTGGCTGTACCCGCCGCCGGTTTCCTGGTGCCTCTCTTCCTGCTCCTGCTGATCCAGGCCATGTCGGTGAGCGCGGCCGAGCGTTCCTACGAAGGCAAGGTACGCGGGGCTGAGCGGGGCGCCAAGATACCGGGCTGTGGGCGGTCCCCTGGCGCCTCCGGGACTTCCGCACTTCCAGTCTTTCTCCGTCTCCCTGGTCCTTGATTGCCTGACCTCCCTGGAAGGTGCCTCATTAGCCCTTCCAGACCCAGATTCAGCTCAAATCTCACCTCCCTCTGGAGCTCGGTGGTCACTCTCCTTTCTGGGTGCACTGCGTCGAGGGACTACTCTGTGTGGGCCGCGTACGCATTATTTTGCGCGAGGGCTTAGAGGTGTGTAAGGCTGCATCCTACGCTCGTGTTCACAAGGAACCTTAAATCCGAGGAACACCCTCCAGACATCCGTAAACACTGAGGGGCCTACCCTACGTAGTACAGTACAGACTCGGAGAGGGCATCGAGAGTGCAGTGAGGACCGCAGGGTGAACTAGGACGTGCCACCCAGTGATTTGGCGGAAGTCTGTGGGGAGGACACTGCAGTGTGGGGCGAAGCTTGCAAAAAAAAAAAAAAAAAAAAGCAGGGAGGCCTGAAAGTCTGTGGAATGTTGATAGGATGATGAGGAAACAGTTCTAATTGGAGCAGAAGGTGGCATGGGAAAGCAAGTGGAACGCCTGGGATTGGCCAGATTTAAAAGGCAAAAGAGTTATGCGGCTAATTTAATCTTGGTGCAGTAGAACCTGGAAGCCTTGATAGGATTTTTTTCTTTACATACTATAAAATTCACCCTTTTTTAGTGCACAGTTGTATGAGTTTTGAGAAATACATACAGCCCACTAATCACCGCCACAATCAAGATTTAGAACAGTTCCATCTTACCCAGAAGTTCCCCACGGCCTTTCATAGTCAGCTTCTCTCCCTACCTTCAGCCCCTGGCAACCACTGGTCTGTCTTCTATTCCAATAGTTTCCCCTTTTTCAGAATCTCATGTAAATGCAGTCATAGCTTTTTGAGCCTCATCTCTTGTATTTAGCATACTGCATTTGAGATTCATCCATGTTGTTGCCCATATTAGTAGTTTCCTCCTTTTTAATTGCTTGTGGTGTTCTGTCATGTGGCTATGGCACACACAGCTTGTTTACCCATTCGCCAGCTGAAGGATATTTGAGTTGTTTCCAGTTTTTGGTGTTTATAAGTAAAGCCACTATAAACATTGGTGTACAGGCATGTGAATACAAGTTTTCATTTTGGGGAGGGGTATATACTTAAGGGTGACATTGCTGAGTAACTGTATGTTTAACTTTATAAGAAACTCCCAAATTATCTTCCAAAATGGCTGTACCATTTTGCATTCCGATAAGCAATGGATGAGAAATTCCAGTTGCTCTGCATCATTGAAATCTGAAGTTGTCAGTTTTTGTTTCTGGTTTTTTTTTTAACTTAGCCAGTCTAATAAATGTGTAGATGTGTAGTGATATCTCATTGTGGTTTTAATTTGCATTTTCCTAATGACTAATGATTTTTGAACATCATTTTATGTTCTTTTCTGCCATCAGTATATCTTTGATTAAATGTCTATTCCAATCTTCTGCCCATTAAAAAAATTGTTTTCTTAATATTGAGTTTTAAGAGTTATTTATGTATTCAGGATTCAGATATGTGTTTTGCAAATATTTTCTCCCAGTTTGTGGCTTATCATCTCATTTTTAAAACAGTGTCCTCCAAAGATCAAGTTTTAAGTTTTGATGAAGTACATTATCAATTTTTCTTTTATGAATTGTGTTTTTGTGTGTAATTAAGAAATCTTTGCTTAACCCAAGGTCACAAAGATCTTCTTATATGTTTTCTTCTAGAAGTTTTATAGTTTTAGGTTTTATATTTAGGACTATGATTCATTTGGGGTTAAATTTTGTATATGATGCAAGGTATGGGTCAAGATTTAGTTTTTTGCATATGGGTTGCTCCAGCACCTTTAAAAAAAAGACTATCCCTTCCATTGAGTTGCCTTTGCACATTTGTCAAAAATCTATTAGGTGTGGGTGTATTTCTGGACACTCTATTCTTTTGCCACTACCACACTATCTTGATTAGTAGCTTTGGTCTGAAATCATGCAATGTGAATTCTCCAACTTTGTTCTTTTTCAGAGTTCTTTTGGCTATCCTAGTTACCTTGACTTTCCATATAAATTTTAGAATCAATTTGTCATTTTCTGCAAAAAAAGTTTGCTGAGATTTTCATTTGGATTGTGTTGAACCTATGGATCAATTTTGAAAATTGTCAATTTAACAATATTGAGTTTTAAGAGTTCATAAATCCATGAATGTGGTATACCTCTCCATTTATTTAGGGTCTCCTTTGATTTCTTTCATTAGTGTCTTATAGTTTTTAGCATATAGATCTTGCCTACATTGTGTTAGTTTTTTTCTAAGTAAGTTTTTGTGTTATTATGATTTTTAAAATTTTCATTTCCATTTATTTATTTAAGAAAAATCAATGGATTTTTGATATTAGTCTTGAATCTTGCAATTTTTCTAGACTCATTTATTAGTTCTAATAGCTTTTTTGTTGATTCTACATAGAAAATCATGTCATCTGTGAAAAGGACAGTTTCATTTCTTCCTTTCCAGCATGTATGGCTTTATTTCTTTTTCTTTTCTTACTGCACTGTCTTGGAGTACTGTGCTGACTAGGAGTGGTAAAAATGAACATCCTTGCCAAGGGATTCCTTCCACATGACAATGACTTGACTGAAGGCTGTTTTAGGAAGACTGTAGTGGGCCACATCAATGAGGGAGAGGCTGGAGACATTGAGACAGCTGAAAGGACAGAGGAGCCTTCTTTGTTCACCATTTTCCATCCTTCCAGTCACCACTTAATCACTCTACCCCACCCATATTTGGTTCTCAGCCCACCTGTGACTCCTCTGCTCAGCCCTTACTCATCAGCCCCGTGTGGTCTGCATGTCTTCTCTCATCAGCCTCAGTCCATCATTTCAGCCTCTCCTGGGCAGTACTCTCCCTTCCCACATCCTGTGATTCTTCCATCCCAGGTCAGGCCATAGGCCTGCCCTCCCTCCACTGTTCAGATGGGGCTGTCTATACGAAACCAGAATCTTATAGCCTCTTATAGGCCTTATAGGAAACCTAAGTGTGGTCTGCACTCTGTGATTCACCAGGCAGGGCTCTTCCCATTACCAGAACCCATTTCAGGCATTCTTCACACACCTCAGCTGCATTTCCTTCCTGCCTCCACCCCTTGACCACCACTTCTACTGGGCCACTTGCTTAGACAGCAAGGGTTCTGGAGCCAGACCACATGAATTCAAATCATAGCTCCATGACATACCAGCAGGGAGATCTTGGCTGTGTTACTTAGCCATCTGGTGCCTCAGTTTCCCCATCTGTAAAAGAAGACAGCATAGATTAGTATGTGTAAGATACACAGAATGGTGGTTGGTATGAATAAGCGGCTTCATGTTATCATTATTACCATTCCTTCCCATCATCATTACACATGTTCATGTCACTCGCATCATAACAACAAAGCAGACATCCCTTAACATCACAGCCCTCCACTCCACCTGTTGTACTCTCCTCTCCAGCGTAGCCTTATTTCCTGAAAGAGTTGGCTGTGCTCATTAGTGTCATTCTTCACCCTCCTCAACCCACTCCAGCACTGCATCCGTCCTCACTGTCACACTGATGCTGCAAATGGCCCAAGCAGCAGGCAGTCCTCAGACTAATCTTTCCAGGCTGGACACAGCAGAACCTGAGACAGAATGTACCTGCAGGGGTCCTTCCCCAGCTGCTCAGGGCTCAGCGCTCTCTGCTGTCTAGGCTGCTAGTCCCCTGCCTGCACCTTGGAGTCTTGGTCTGGGCTGCCTGCCCTTCTCACCAAAGCCCTCTCTGCGCTGCTCTCACCACCCTGAAAGTTAAGGCTGGCTTTGTTGTCTGTGGTGTGTCCTCAGTCCCTGGTGCAATGCCTGGAACAGTGTTGAGGTCCCTAAATATTTATGAACAAATGAGTGAACCTATAAAGGAATATATAATGCTTCGGGAGAGAAAGAAAGAGAAGAAGAGAGAGAAGCCTGATGCCCTGATCCTTGGGGAAGAAGGTGAGAGAGCAGAGGCATCAGGGAATTGAGCAGGAGACATGGCCCTCACTTCGGTTTTGGTCCTGTGGGGCGTGAGTGCCTTTGAGACACAGAATTGGAGCTGGAGACCAAGTCTGGAGCCAGTGAGAGAGAACAGTCTGGGAACTTCTGAGCTGTTGGATTCCATTCATGTCTGAGGGTCCCATGTGGGGAGAGGGAGGAGCTCTACTTTATTGGTCAGTTCTTAGGATTTCATTAAAAAATTACCACTCCTTAAGCATTGAGCAATCAACATTTTTCTATACATCATGTACATCTAGTAAATAAAAATTTATTTCTCTTGATTTTAAATTCTGACTGTCAGTTTGATCAAACTCTTATAACCATTTAATTAGAATAGAATAGAATAGAATACTGGTTTTTCTTAAATGCTTTAAAGTAGGCAGAACTCAAAATATCATGATAGTATTGCTTTTTGGCAACAACGGGATGTTCTGGGGTCTTGACTTCTCCTCCCGTAGGTGTCAGCTGCCCTGCATGGAGTCCTGGTTCCCTCTGGTGCAGAATAGTGTTGAAGATAAAAATCTTCATGACACTTTGTGTCATGACTTACATTCTGTAGCTAAGGCTCTTGAAGTCCCAGTGTCTCGCTGTGCTGGGGAGGAGGAGGGGGCGAGACTGATAGGTGGCAGGAGGAGAGGAAGAGAACCTGGTCAAGAGTGACCAGAGGAGGACTTGATCTTTGCCTTGATCTTTACATTCATTGGTCAAGCACTGGGTGCTCAAGACCTTCAGACCAGACTTTCAGGCCCATGTGATTTTGGTTAGGGCAATATGGTTGCACCCCATACAGCTGCCCTTCATTGACAGTGAAATTCAGGGAAGGCGCAATTTTAGCAAAACATGAAACATGAGAAAGTAGAGGAGTTGAGGGAGCAGGGGTGGAACTGTCTTTGGAGCAGTTTAGCAGCAAAAGGAAGATCTGAAAGTGTACCCGGAAGGAAGTACCTGGAGGATGTGTGTGGTCAAAGGAGACAGAGAAGGGGAGGATACTGTGAACGGGAGGCTACAAGGTGATGGGGGAGGACCCCTGAAAAGGCAGGGGAGGTGGGAGCAATGCCAGAGCTGCTCAGAAGTGGGTTGGGGGAGGCCTTGCCTGACTCTCCTGGGTTCTCTGTCCTTGGAGTCTTGATGCAGCCCTGGACTGAGCTGGCCTGTGCAGGGAGGGCAGGTGAGGGGACCAGTCCGCCCATTCCTGCTAGATCTGAGCTCCTCTTCCTGTCCTCACCCACAACTCCAGTGCCAACACCTGCAGGGATACAACCCCTTCGACCATGGCTGTGCCAGCAACTGGTATTTAACAATCTGTGCACCGCTAGGACCCAAGTGAGTTGGCAAACCAGAGGCCTGAGTGGTGGCCCCGGGGTCTGGGGGGTGGGGTGAGGCTGGGTCATCTCCTCTGACCCCTTAGCACAGCTCCCAGCTCCTTACACTCATGGTTCTTCTTTTGGGATTTTCTCCAAGGCACTGTGGGAGCCTCTCGAGCCTCCTCTTCCTTGCCTCTGTGGGCTCTTTCCCCAAGAAATGGGGTAGAGGGGCACTGCAGCCTGGTTGAGACTGGTCCCCTGCTCCCTGCAGGGCCAGGAGGGCCAGGGACCCCTTGCATCTGGCTTGTCGCTCCCTAGGTACATGGCCAAAGCTGTCTGGCTGCAGAGAGTGGAGATGCCTGACTGGGTGCCCTTGCACAATCCGCACATCTCCGTGTGCCCTCCTGTGCTCAGTCCTCCAACCCTCCCTGGGCCTGGGTCTGGCTCCCAGCCCCAACCTCTGGGTCTTTACAAACCAGGGAAGGGTCCCCCAGGGAGTGGTGAGGCTGCAGCCCTCCAGGAGGTGAGGAGTGTGTGCCTGTGTGTGCCGGGAGGGGGCGTCTGCCCATAGTACAGGTGTCGGGGACCCCCCTCCCACCCATGTTGGGCTGCCCTGAAGCTGGAGCACTCAGAGCTCAGGGGATGGAGATTTTAGGCTGGAGGAGTGTTAGAGGTAGAGTCACAGGTCTCCAGAAAACACCAGGGGTCCCTGGAGACACAAAGGGAAAAGGCCACACCATTCACTTGCCGGATGGCCTTGGGCCAGTCATTTATTCCTTCTGGGCCTCAGTTTCTTCAGCTATTAATGAGGACTGAGACTAGTTCAGTGGTTTATAACTGGGGTGGGGGGCAGATTCCCCTATTTAAAGGCACCTTTTGCGCTGAAGCCCAGTCTATGAACCATATGGAAGTGGAGCGTTAGGATGTCCCACACACCAGGCACCTGCAGGGACATTCTGGGTGCCAACCCACTCCCTTTGCTCTGCCTGTAGGGGGCGGTGGCTTGGACGGTTTCTTGCTCCCCGGTTGGGTGGGCTGGGGGGCGGGGTTCGGGGTTCTGGGACAGCACCCATCCCCCACTCTGTGTTTAGCTCCAGGCTGGCCCGGTGCTGCCCCCGCTGCAGGAGGCCCCCAGGCGAAGCTCCGTCTACCTTTCGTCCTTTCGCACCGGGCGATGCCAGGAGCCTCTGCATCCGAACCCCACCTCTTGAGCCCCTCGTGGAGACCTCTGTGCCCTGCCCTTACCCACCCCCCTGGCGGGAGTGCTGAGAGGCCCCAAAGCCCATTAAATACCCTTTGCCTGCCTCCTCCGACTGCCTTGCTGCGCTGTCTGTCCTGAGTGCGAGGGATTATGGGGATGTGGCGGGCTCTGAGGGAGGAGCCAAGATCCAATACTGACTGACTCTGCGACCTTGGGCAAGACACTCAACATTGCTCTCATCGTTAAAACGGGGCAACCATAACAACCACGGCGAGGGCTGGGGATGATGTAAGAGAAAACCCAGCCGTGAGGGTGTCAGCCGCGGGAAAGTCCCGGCCGACGCCCTGCTGCACCCCCGTCTGGCTGCAGGGGGCGCCCGCCTCCTGGGAATTCGCCAAGCCTGGCCTGGTCCAGCCCTGCCACACTGGCGCCTCCGGGGTGGGTTGGGGCTGGCTCTCAGGCTGGGAGCAGGCCCTCCTCCTGCCTCATCCCAGGAGGTGGAGGTGTGGGATTGTTCTCCATCATAGTCCAATCCTGCATCTTTCCTGCAAGCCGGTCTCATCCTGGCCACTCCCTCTTTTTGGGGAGTCAGGTGCTTGTTCCGGTCCTGTGCCTAGGGTGGGTTCCAGGCCCTGTGAGTCTGTAGGGGAAGGAGGGGCGGGGACAGGGTGAGTGCGAGGGAACCAAGTCGAACTGTGGTTCCTCAAGTGGCCAGAGTGACCTTGGGAATAGAACTAATGGCACCTTCCAGGAAAGTTGTTAGAAGATGAAATGAGGTGGTTCATGTGAAACACCAGGTATGCAGTAGGCACACAATGAATGCAGCCACTATGATGATGATTATTTTGTCCACCACGCAGCTACCACACCACCTCAGAATTACCTGAGCCCCAGACCACTGACTCAGCATCTCGGGTGGGTAGAGGGGCGGAGTCAGAATCTGAAGTGCCCCATCCCTGAATCTCAAGGGCCCCATGGGGTCCTGCCACCCTGAGCTTTCAGACCTGCTGCCTTAGGAGGTGAGGATGGGCTCCGACCACTCTGCTTCCTACCACCCCTGTATTCAGGCAAAATGAGGTATGTTGAGGGAGAGAGGGAAGGACGTCACCGAAGGGTCAGATGAACACCCCAGGGGCCTGTGAAGGTGTGTGCCTGTGTGTGCACGTGTGTGCTTGTGTCCTGGGGACAGGAGCTCATCCTCCACATGTGTCAGCCCAGCTGGGGAGGTGGGTGACTGATGATGCAGGGCGTGGCTCTGGTTCTCTCCACATTGAGTCCCCTTTGAGGCTCTTTCCCTCTTCCTCCCATCCTGTCTGTGGCAGCCTCAGGCCCTTCCATGTCCAGGCCCAGCCTCCCCCACTGCTCTGGCTCTGGCTCTGGCTCTGGGTCTTGGCCAGCCTTGTTCAACCTAAGGACGCCAGCTCTTTCTCTCCCCCTTTGCCCTGGTCCCAGTGTCTCTCAAGTCCCAACCTCCCTTGGGGCTCAAGCCTTTTCTCAGCACTCTCAGGGTTAACCTTGGATTCCGGGGAGGGGTGTGGGGTATTCACTGGCAAAGAAAAAGGCAGCCCAGTTTTGGCCTTATGGTATGTGGCTTCCATGGCCACATTTAAAATCCTTAAAGGCTCGTATTTACAAGCGAAGCTGAAGCAGCGTTGCCTGTCTGGGTAGCCCACAGTCCGTGTTCGCATGGTGAGGGGATGAGGGCATGAGACCTTTTGGGCCCTGGACCCAGGTATGTATGTGGTGCACAAATCTGTGTGAGTCTTGTGTCCGTGTGTGTTCAGAGAGCCCATCTTAGCCCAGGCTGCCCTGTAGTGAGGAGAGGCTCTGAGGTCAGCTCCCAAATGGGAGTCCTCAGGATGGTCTGGGCCTCGGCCAGAGAGGACAAGAATTCAGGAACCCGGGCCAAGGCCTGGATGGAGGATATTCATGGAACTGGCTGGGTGCCTGAATGGAGCCTGCCTAGAGCCCCAGCTCCACGGGGGCCGAGAAGGCCAGGCCTAGCCCTGTCTTGTCCTGCTGCCCGTCTCTCTGCTACTCTGCCTGGTTCATCAGGACTGCACCTACCAGGTCCCTGCCTCCAGCTGTCGGGGGACTCACCCAGTCTCAGGTAGGGCCTTCCAAGTCCTAAGCCGCGTGTGAGTCATCTCCCCCAACAGCCTGGGCCTCAGTTTCCTCACTGGGCAAGGACATAACTTTCTCAAAGGCAGCCATGTTCCCTTCTGCCCTGGGATGTAGATTCTGGGTCTCTCTCTCTCTGGGTCTCTGAGATTTCTAGGATTCCCTTAGGAAAGCACCTTGGATTAAACATTTCGTCTCCCAAGCAGTAAGTGGGACCTAGCTCACCCCTTCCTTTGACTCCCTCTCCCCTAAGCCTTGGACATCCCTCGGAGATTCTTTCCTGTCCTGTAGGCCTTGGCTGATCTGCACCCACCTTCGCTTTCTGCCTCCTCCACATTTCTTCTGTACCTGCTCTTGACTCCCAGACACACCTCTCAATCCTTGGCTCACTGATATGGGGAGGGGTGTTATCAGGGCCTGAAAACGGGGCCAGCTCTCCACACACCCTGGAAGCCTGCATTCCCTTAGGCAGGAGCCAAGGAGTGATCCCCAAGCAGGGCTAGCATGTGCCCACAGGTCTGGAGCCACTCTGAGAGATACCCTGCCCATTCCTGGAGCCTGATGGAAGGAGGGGGAGCCCAGAAGCAGCCACCCCTTGTCATCTCCAGCTGTTTCCTCCATGGGCCTTCCGAAGTTCAGGGCACGGGGCTGGGAAGAGCAGCGGGCTGAAGTCAGGAGGCCTGGGTGTCACCCAGCTAGTGTGCCGTGGGAGCGGGTTTCTGTCCTCTGCTCGGCCTCAGGTCCCTCGTCCGTAAACAGGATGACCACCATGGCCAGCTCACAGGTGGTCACGGGTCCTAAGTCTTTGGAGCTGGAAGGGACTTAGGAGTCATCTCATCTAGCTGCCTCTCCACCCTCGATTTCACAGATTTTTACCAGAGAGGGACGGGATTGCCTAGGATGGCACGTTGTCCAAGCCCAGGTTGCCTCTCCTATTCCTGCTCTGGTGACCATTTCAGAGGAGGAAGGACTTGGGGAGCCACCACTGCCCCCCACCAGCCCCCACAGAGCCAGGCAGGGTGTATCAGCACAGGACCTGAGGCCCTGATAAGAAGGCAGGCTTAACTCCAGCTCTGCTGGGAGTGATAATGACGCCCCGTTCCCTTGTGCTCAGCCCCGCCCTACCCTGCCTTGCCCACCCCACCCAAGGGGACCCTGCCAGTGGCTGAGGGTGGGGTGGGGCCTGGACAGAGACGGCAGAGGAGGTGGCTGGAGCTGGGATCGTGGGCCAGAAGCCTAACACCTCCCAAGTCAGGGGCCCCTCACTGGCTGACCCCCCTGGGCACTCAGTCCCTGGCACCCAGGTGATGCTCCAGTGACACCCATGTCCTCCTCCAGTCCTGCACGCAGAGCGTGGTGGAGGGAGGTGGCTGGGCTGAAGGTTTGCCAGGCTCGTGCTGGGTCACAAAACTTTCCTGAGTGCCCCTGGGGCCAGGGCCTGGGCTAGGTCGTTCACAGGATCTCCCTTAGTTCTCGTGACAACCCCCCTGAGGCGGTTATTCTGGTCCTAGAGATGAGGAAGCCAGAACTGAGCAAACAAGCCACTTCCCCAAGGTCACATTGCTTCTAAGTGGCAGAGCCAAAGCTCCTTTAGCCTTTGTCTTTATGATGTGCCTCATAGGCGGTTCTGTTTTATTTCAGCTGAGAGTAGTGGTTAAGGCCTGGGCTCAGAAGCCAGATGGCCAAGGTTTCCCACTGTAACATGGGATGAATCGTGGCCTCTGTTGTGCTTGTGTGAGGATTCTTTATTCAGTGCATGTGGAGAGCTTGACCCGAGTTCTGGCATGTGACAGGTGCTAAATCGTGGTAGTGATTGTCCCCACAATAGGATCCAGGTGACGCCCGAGTCAGGACTTTGTGACCTGCCGGGGCCTTGGAGATGCCGGTCACTGTGGCAACAGCAGCCCGCTCTTGCCATTTGGAGCATGTTTCCTAGAGGCCAGGCAGCAAAGGGGAAGTGTGCTGCTTCGGAGGGGATGTTTGTGGTGCTGTTTTAACGAAAATCAAGCACTATTTGTGTCCCCAGGCCAAAAAGGAGTGAAGGTGTGGGCTGAGTGTTCGAGGGAGCAGCAAGAGAAACCACCTAAATGGCTCTGCCTTCCCACACAGGCGAGGGAGTTTCCTGTTAAGAAAGCACCTTGTTGCTTCTGTTCTGAGGCCAGGCAGTGTCCCAGGCTGAAGGAAGTCAAAGCTGTGGGCATTTGAGCCTGTGTCCTGGCCTCGCTCACAGCCACCGCCCACCGCTTCTGCCGGCTCTGCCCTCTCCCT